GGTCCCCCCTTAAATGAAGTCATCCTTACTATTGTTCTTTAAGAAGTGTTAGGAGTACTTTTTTCTCTAATAAGAGGCCACTAAAAACAAAATACCGTTAAAATTAGACTTCATCAACATTTAAAATGTCTGCTTATTAAAAACACTTAAGAAAATGAATAGGCAAGCCACAGACTGGGAGAAATCATTTGCAAAATATAGAGCTGACAAAGAACTGGTATCCAGAATATGTAAAGAACTCTTACAGCTCAAAAATAAAAACTTGTAAATTGAATTAAGAAATGGAGAAAAGTGAAGAGATGTTTCATAAAAGAAGAGATATAAATGGCCAATAAGTCCATGAAAAAACATTCAGCAACATTAGTCATCAAATAAATGCAAATTAAAATAGCATTGTGACATCACAATTATGTCAGAATGGTTAAAATTTAAAAAACTGACACTGCCAGACATCAACTGTTGATCAAACTGGTGGACATGTAAAATGGTATACTATTTTGGGAAAAAGATCCGGCAGTTTGGATAAACTTAAAAATATACTGACCTTATGGCCCAGCAATTCCACTTGTAGGCTTTTACTCAAATGAAAATGGATGCCTATGCTTACAAAAAGACCTATATACAAATCTTCTCAGAGACTTTATTCATAGTAGGCAAAACTAAAAACAGACTTTTTAAAAAATCTGTGGTTTATTCATACAATGAAGTACTACTCATCAATAGAAAGGACTGAATCACCAGTACAAGATGATTGAATCTCACAAACATGCTGAATAAAAAACTTTAGGCGAAAGAGTGGAGGTTGTATTACTCTATTTGTATGAAATTCTAGAACAGGCAAAAGTAAATTCACAGTGGGAAAAAAATCACGAGTGGTTGCCTGTTGGATGGAGATGGAGTGGGGGGCAGATGGAGATTAACTGGAAAGGGGAATGAGGGAACTTTATAGGGATGATGTTAATATTCCATTTCTTGATGGGGGTTGGGATAACACCGGTGTATGCAAACGTAGTGAATGTGCACTTAAGATTTGTGCATTTCATTTTATGTAGCTTTACCATAAAATGATAAACACCATAAACAAATATTGAACTTGTTAATATGAATTCTGAAGTATTTAGGTGGAAGTGTACTGTTGTCTGCAACTTACTTTGAAATTCATTGAATATCAGATGGTTTAATGGATGGAGAACATGATAGCGAGACAGATGTGCTACAGCAAGTATAATAAAATGTTAACTGTAATCTAGGGAGTGGGTAGATGGGTGTACCCTGTAAAATTCTTCCACCTATGTTGAATGTGCAATTTGTCTAGTATCTAACATTCACTGAATGAATGAATGATGAATAGCTGGATGCAAAGGTGACATAAGTCAGCTATGGTGATTACTTCCTTGATTCACCAGTGACATCTCCCTCTTTATTGGGAAAACGGCTTTGTATTAGTGTTTGCAAACAATGTTTGTGCTTCATGGTTTAAGAAAAGACCACTTATTTTTCCTTGAAAACTTTATCATAAAGCAGTTTTCAAATTCTAGTGTCTGAATCAAGCTGGAAGAATTTGTTAGAATCTGGGGATCCCATCCCCCTGGAAAGTCTGATTCAGTGGTTCAGGGGCAGGGCCCAGAAATCTGTAGAGCTTAACAAGAGCCTCAGGGGATTCTATTTTAGGTAGTCCCCAGGTCACAATTTGAGAAACACTGATGAAAAGAAATTCATTACTTCCTGAAATTTCAGTTTTCTCTACCTCAAAAATAGCTGTCCTGTTTTTTATTTTCCACCGCAAAACTATGGTGCCACTAATTTTTGGAGCCATCATCCTCTTCCTCTAACCTTGGTGTCAATCAGGATGGAGCACTAGAAGTTACGGTGGCTGTTAGTAACATGGTAGGTAGAGTTATCGTTTATCGGGTGCCCATTTGTTGGGTGCTATGTGAAAGGCTTTGTAATTGCCGAGTAGGTTGTGGTACATTTATTTTACAATGGGGAAAAACCCTCAGAAAGGCTATGTAACTTGTCAAAAGTCACAATATCATACATGACAGACTTGAGATTGAAATGCGAATCAAACTGTGATTTTTCCAAGACACAACCCCTTTATTCATTTTTATTGAATTATTGTTGATATACAATCTTATATTGATTTCAGGTGTATAGCACAGTGGTTCAACAGTTACCCACAGTATAAAACCCTTACCTCTACTAGTGCAGTTATTGTCAATATAAGAAGATGTTACAGAATCATGGCCTATATTCTCCATGCTGTACTACTATCCCCATGATCAACTTATATTACTGTTTGAGGATTTTTGTGCCCCTTTATCCCCCTCACCCATCCACCCACCCACCCCAGCTCCTCCCCCATGGTAACCACCAGTCACTTCACAGTGTCTGTGAGTCTACTCCTATTTTGTTCATTTTGTTTTGTTTTTATATTCCACAAATAAGTGAAATCATATGGTGTTTGTCTTGGTCTGCCTGACTTATTTCACTTAACATAATACCCTCTAGGTACATCCACGTTGTTGCAAATGGCAGGATTTTTTTTATGGCTGAATAATACTCCCTTGTATATATATGCACCACATCTTTATCCATTCATTTATTGATGGACTTAGGTTGCTTCCATAATGTGGCTATTATAAATAATTCAGTGATAAACATAGGGGTGCATGTATCTTTTAGAATCAGAGATTTTGCTTTTTTCAGGTAAATTCCTAGAAGTGAAATTATTGGGTCATATGGTATTTCTATTTTTAGTTTTTTGAGGAATCTCCATACTGTTTTCCACAGTGGCTGCACCAATTTACATTCCCACCAGCAGTGTAGGAGGGTTCTCTTTTCTATAACCCCCTTTATTATTGTGTAATTATTAGTATTAATGATTACTATTGTTTCTATGAGTCATGTCTTAAAGAAATATTGGTCAACTTTGACTGCAGAGTGCAGGGCCCTTAAAGAGTCAGCCATCCATCCATTTATTCATTTAACAATACTTAATTGAGCAACTGCTATGTGCCAGAAACTGCCAGGCATAAGGGACACAAAGGTAAACTGAGGTCTCTAGAATTATGGAGCTCACATGGATACAGATAAGTACACAGCGATTTATAATGCAGAGTGATAAGTGCTATAATTCTTCTTATATATAAATTTAATAATCCCTCAATAAAAACACAAACTGGACTGTTTCTGGAACTGAACAAACTGAATTCAAAGTTCACTTGAAAAAAGTGTAAGAAGAACCAGGAAATACAAGAAAAAGAAGAGTAGAGTGTAGTCAAGTAATGACCTACCAGTCATTAAAACAAAACTACAAAAATTAGGATGGTCTGGTCATAGTATATGAATAGATTAATGGAATGGAATAGGGAATCCAGAAACAGACTCAGATACAAATGGGAACATAGTATATGATAAAGGGGTATTTCATACCAGTGGGGGAAATATTAAACTATTCTGGAAAGGCATTGAGACAAATATGTATCCAACTGGAAAGACACTACACAAAAACAAATTTTAAATGGATCAAAGACTTAAATGTAAGTATTTAATATAAAATTATAAAGGGGTAGGAAGTTTTAAAGAGGCTGGAGGGTAAGAATAGTTAGGTCATGAGGGTCTTGATTTGTTAAAAAGTTTGGGCCTTTGAATATGAATTAATCATGGGGAGCTGTTAAAGGTTTTAGAGCGGGAGGTCAATTATAATCAGATTAGTATTTGAGAGAGATCACTCTTACTATAAAGAGAGCATAGATCTGTAAAGGATAAAACTGAAGGTGGAGAAATGACACTTGTACCAGGTGAGGGATAATGGTTCCCTGGAACCGCGCTGGTGATGAATGGTGACGGAGAGGTGGATAGATTGAGAGATATTTAGCAGCATCTTGATTTATTGGATGTTGGAGGTGAGAGAAAGGTCAGGAATGATGCCTAAATGGAGAAGTGGTGGCAATAGGGAAGAAAAGAGTTGAATTGGGAGAGTAGGAAAAAGTGACACAGTGAGTTGAATTTAAGTGCCAGCCAGGTGTCAATAGAAATACCTAAAAACCCTGGAGCTTGAATGATGGATATGACTGGAGATAATTTGGGATTCATCAGCATAACTGATAACTGAAGTCCTGTGAGTGGATGCAATCGCCCAGGGAGTGCACTTAGCGTAAAAAGACCTAGGACAGAACCTAAGAGGCAGGATAATGAAGAAAAAAATGTTCCCTGAGAAGCATCTTGGGGAGAAAAGGAAAATGTGGAGAGGGGTAGGGTGAAGTCAAGTAAAACGTGTTTCAGAGTGGTCCTTTATACCAAAGGCTAGGGAGGTGGTCAAGATGAGAATGAGAAAAATGTGTTGATTTAAATACCAGGATATTACTACTGAAGATCGTCAGAAGAACAGCTGACTGGACGGCTGGGGTGGAGGCATCTTGAAAGACATGGGTGTTTTTTTTTTTTTAAGGATCACTTGAGTATATCTAAAATGCTGATGACAGAAAGCCAATATTGAAGAGAGAAAGGAATTGAGTTTACCAGATGTGAGGGGTGGGACCCAGAGAGGCACCACCAGGCCTTAGGACTTCCCTCGTAAATGAAGGGAAATGGGGAAGCTGACAGATTCTAAAGGTTTGGTGCAGGGAATCCCAAGGACTTTCGGTTGGATGGTTTCTACCTGTTTGGAAAGCCGGGTGTGGGGGGGTGTGCTGGGGGTGGTTCGGGAGGGGGCCCAGGCTCGTCCAGCCGGGCCTTGCGGGGGAGACGCCCACTGGGACGCGGTGGTGCGCTGCCACTGCAGCTGGACGGCGGGGCGAGGCCCAGCATCAGCTGTAACAGGACAGAGGCGCGGCGTTTCAGCACAGCGTTCGCGAAACCAGGGGCCAGCCGAGGAGCCCAGAACGTGACCACACCGCCGCGACATCATGACTCAAGCTCCGTAACTGCGCGCTACGTCACATCCGCACAGCGCGACGGACAGTGCTGGACGTCATGGTCCCGCGACGCTGGCGCGGTAATAGAACGCCCTCCCGGAAGTGGATTCCAGATGGGGCAGTGAAAGTGGCAGCCGGTGGCCTCTGGCGCCCGGTCTGGAGAGGTCAGAGCTGAGCTATTTCTCTTCGTTTCCTCCCAATCCTTCCTGAGTCTTCCAGATCCGCCTTGGGAGGAACTGTCTGCACCATCATGGGGGGAGGCGACCTGGTAAGTGAGTGAGGCCTGGGCGTGGGAGGACTGAGGCCGGAGAGGATCGGGGCTGGGGACGAAAACTGGCAGGGGTGGGAATGGATAAGCGTGACAGCATAGCCTTGCTTTCGCGGGGAGGGAGCCGTAACCCTGGGGAGGGGACGGATTCCTAGGTCCACGGAGAGACGGAGTGGAGACTTGGAAAGGTGTTCGAGGTGTGTCGCCAACGGTTGCAGGTGGTGTTTGTGTGTTTGTTGGCGGGGGCCCTCCCGGCTGGAAATTCTGGGAAGGCCGGGAGGGGAGTTTTTGGAACCGTGGCTAGGAAAGGACGCAGGTATCGAGGACTGGTCACACCGGCTTTGTTTTGTATATCTTGTCTTGGGACACATCTCCCTTTCTCAGCTGGGAGTTCAGAGTCATGTCTAGTAAAGGTGGTTTGTGTCCTATTCTCCTCGTCCTTGAGCTATGTCCCGGGGTCCATTTTAAACCTGAAATTATCTTCATGTCCACCTTTCTGACTTCTTAACTGCTACATTCTGATGTGTAATGACAGAGCTTTCTTCTGAATTCATAGCACTTAATATGTTATGTGGCAAGGTATCTTAAACTATATAGTTTATCTGTAGGGAACTAAGACCCCCAAATAGGGCAGACAACCCACAAGAGCGTGGTGCAAGAACAGAAAAATGCTAACCTTTTGAAAGTGTAGCTAATTGAATCAGCAAATAGCCATCTGTTCAGTAGCTGTTAGCGATTAGAATGAGTTCCAAGACCCCATCAAGGTTCATCTAATTTAGTGTATTTTTCAAGTAATTGCAGTTAGGGACAGAAAAACCGTAATCCAGGGTTTCTCAGCTTCAGCACTATTGACATTTTGGGCTGGATAATCCTTTGTAGTGTACGTGTGTGTAGGGGGTTTGGGGTCCTATGCATAATGGTGTGTTTAGCAGCACTCCTGGCCTCTAGCTACTGGATGCCAGTAGCATCCTTCCTCCCTTGTAACAACCAAAAATATCTCCTACATTGCCAAATAGTCCCTGGAGGGCAGAATCACCCATGTTGAAGGAGGGGAGGAGGACCGGTATATCCCCTGAATATCTTCCACATGCCAGGTGCCTTGTATACTGTTTTCTCATTTAGACTTCTTAACTGGTCTCCTCCTCTCCATTCTTAGCCATCTCCAGTCCATCTCCACATGATAGCCAGTTAGGCCTCTCACTTGCACATGACTCTTTAATATTTCCTACTGTGTCAACAGAATAAAATCCAGCCCCTTAACAAGGCTTGTAAGGCCCTTAATCTTGTTACTTCATCCTGAGCCCCTCTCCCCAGTCAGCTTGTATGCCATCTCCAGCCACGCTGCATTGTATGTGCTGTGTTCTTTCTCATCCCTGGGCCTGCGGTTGTGTGTGCTGTTTCCTTTGTTTGGAAATCTACTCTCCCCCATTTCTACATCACTGGCTGATTTATAATCGTCCTTAGATGTCACTTCTACCAGCCTCCCCTGACTGGGAAGCTGAGCCAAAGCAGTGGGTGGCTCATGGGGAGGAGGGAGAGGGGAAGCATTCTTGTGAAGGGAGACCAGAACCAAGGGCAGATTTCTGGGAAGGAAGATTGAAAGAGGTGTTAGGTGGGGTTGCAAACCCTGGAAATTTAAGGCAGGTTAAGTAGACTCAAGGAAAAGAGTTGTGTTCATAAGAATGCATGTCCAGTGCCAAAACTTGAGTCCTGTTGTCTTTCAGAGTCTACACCTTCCTACCTCCCTGCCCATTCCTTCTGTGTAGTCATCACCAACCCTTACTTCAGGCATGACCAATGGAAGTCAGATGCATATGCATATCAAGTTAAAAGGGTTTGAAGGGAATCCAGGAAGGGCCTTTTCTATCCTGAAGCTTTATGTCCTTGCACTAAAACCCCTTGATGTGTGAGAGATCGTTGAGTGTCAGCCTTGTCATTGTGAAAGATACCTTGCTTGTACATGCCTGTCTTGGTGTGAATAGGGCGAGGGTAGGTGAGTTAGGGCCAGTTATACTCACCACCCACCCACTCCCTGCATTGTTTTCTCCCTCCTATCATTCACCCCAGAATCTGAAGAAGAGCTGGCACCCGCAAACCCTCCGCAATGTGGAGAAGGTGTGGAAGGCTGAGCAGAAGCATGAGGCTGAACGGAAGAAGATTGAGGAGCTTCAGCGGGAACTGCGGGAAGAGAGAGCCCGGGAAGAGATGCAACGCTATGCAGAAGATGTTGGGGCTGTCAAGTAAGCGAGATGCTGAGGTGCTGTGGGTCAGTTTGGGCTCCAGTAACTGCAGGACTGGCCTGTGGATGACTCCTCCAGTTGTTGCAGAATAGCTGGTTAGGAGCATGGGTCTTGGAGTCTGCTAGCCTGGGTTCTAAGGTTGGCTTTGCATGGACTAGCCTAGTCGTGTAACTGGGAGCAAGTTTGGGAACCTGGCTTATGTCAGTAGAACCAGGGGAGTCAGAATACCCAATTCCTAAGGTTTCTTGAGGATTAAATGAGATAACACGTAAAGAACTAAGCATAGGCAAGCTCAGGGTAGATGATTGACAAGTCATTGTGACTGAGGATGTCTACCCTGTTTCTCAGCATGTGTGCAGGTCATAGTTCTGCTTTGGTTTGTTTATGTATCGTAGGCTAATGTTGAGGGGCAGTGAGGTTCCATGGAAGTAGGTGAATGGTGTGTCTGTCAGGAAAACCTGTGTAACTATGGATGGTCCCACTCAATTTTGCTCTACTTCAGTTTCCTCTTGTGTAACATAGGATAAGACTAACAGATAATAATTAGCTTACCTGTAGAAGGAGGTAGGAGTAAATGTGTTCTGAGAAAAACAAAAGGCATACAACATGCAATACATTTCTAAATCAGAATTAAATAAAACCTACAGAGAGACTAAAATTGAATAATCTGTACTATCATTCCCCTTGTGCATGTCCTTGTGGGCAGGTCTCCAAGGTAGCCTATGGCGTACTCCCTCCATTGGAAATACATGGCTTTTCCTTAATTTTGTGACAGGAGAATTTGTGACATTCAAGGGTTGTGTATGTGAGGCTCAGTTTCAACTCATGGAAGTAACATTATGGAGCTGAGGCAGGATAACGATCATACTCTCTCAGAATAATGGATTGGAGAGAAGGCCATTCCAATTTAAGTATGAAATTTGGAATGTTTCAAAATAAATGGAGTTTTAGAGTTTTTAAATACAGCACATATGTTGAGGGCATTCATACATAAAATAAGAGTGAAATTTTATGTTTTTTTAGCCATAGACTTAAATTGTTATACTTTATGTAAATTGTATACTTTACATTATAATTTAATGTAAGTAAATAAATTTCACACATTTAAATTAATTACTGGGCAGTTTATAAGTTGAACACACCATTGTTATTTGTGAAGTTTTAGATTTGTGAGCCTTCATTTTAAAGCAGGTGTCAATTTTAGACTGAGTCATAAAGGCTTACTTTCCCACTAACCAAAGATAAAAAGTTATTTTGAAGTTTTTATTCAGCAAAGCATCCATACACCTGATGTGTCTGAAATTTGGGCTTGGCAGAGTCTAACTAATGAGGTCAGAGTATAGATGAGCAGCTTCAGAGCTGGAAGTTAAATGTTTATCCTGTTGCTGACCCTCACCCCCGCTTGTCTGTTGTGATTGAAAGGAAGTGGTTTTACATTGTTTTGATTTTTGTGCTCCCTTACATATCCTCCAACATTGTAAAACACAAGGGTCAGCACGTAGGTCTTTTCTTTGGTCTTTACTTGCAGATGTATTTAGATGATCAGCTTGTCCATCTGACTGCTTTGCATAGTTCTTTGCACAATGTCATACTTTTAATTTATCCTATAAAATATCAATCAATACCTTTTGCTATCTAACGATTCACTTCTATGGTTCAGATAGTCTTTTCCATGTTTGTGATGCATCTCTCAGAATAAATAAAAACTTTAATACCCCTATTATCCTGGATCTAAATCCTTCTTTGCAGTAGAGTGTTGCTTTAATATTTACTGATAATGTTAGAAAGCTGTGTTTTCTAGATGGTGGTCTATACCAAGGGTTGTTTCTTAACCTTGCACAAGTGTTCTTGGAAGGTGACATATAGATGGGAGTGGTTCCCACTCAAGCAGATTCCCTAAGAATAGTAGGAGGTGTGTGGGGCAAAGACAAATGTATATTTTAAGAGCTCTTGGGTGATTCTGATGGGCAGCCTCAATTAAGAACCTAGTCTGTATCCTAGCAGCAACAATAATCTATAATTTTTTTCTTACCTGGCTTTTACCCTAAGTAGTTTCTCATCTAAACACTCAGAGTAACAGAGATGGTAGTTACTAGCTCCATTTTAGACATGAAGGTATGGAACTGCACGGAAGTAACTTGTATGATTACCCAGTTGGTTAGTGGTGGAACCAGGCCAACCCCTGTGGCCCTGGGTCTTAGCTATACAACATACTTAGCCTTACTAGAAGGCCTGAGTAGGACTGGTATCAGTTGAGTCTTTTTAAGACTAGCTAGAGCCATGCAAATACTACTTCATAGAAGTACTATCTGTGTCTTTGATGTCCTTTCTTCTGTATTTGACTTAGGGGCCCTTCCCCAGAAATGTTTTGCTCCTTTGCCTGCAGGTTCCTGGTTCTCCTACCAATTCATATCATGTCTTCTCTTTCCTTCACTTATTTATTTAGCTTCTTTCTCTTATTTCATGACTGCCCATGCTCCTCAAGACCTCCGCTTCCACTCATTTTCTCTCTCTTAGGGCCCCTCCATTCCTCAAGCATCAGTCGTCTACTTCATGCTGGTGGCTCCAGATTGTCCCACACAAACTACTTTGTCTCTGTATGTGCAGCTGCCTACCACACAGTTCTTCTTTGAGGCCCCGGAGTCACCTCAACACACGCTCAGCTCTCACCAGCCCCATCTGGAAATTTGTTGACCTGTGTGCCTCATCCAGTAACCTATGACCAACCAGTTGCCTGGATATTTTTCATCCTTCCAGCCTCACTCTTCTGTCTGGCATATAGGAAGTATGCTCAGTAAATGTTCACAAATGAATAAATAAATATTGCCCACTTCCTCATCCCTATTAGTGCCAGGCATGCATCAGCCTGATCTCCTGATCTCTCCAGTCATCTTTGACACGTCCTTTTAAAGGCCCCCCTACCCAGTCACTAAGACCTGCTTTCCTTTCCAGAAGTACTGCCTATTTCAAGATCCATTGCCCATGAAATGCCAAACATTGAACACGTGACCATGAGGCAACTGTATAGGATTCACAGGTGAATAAACTGTGGCTCCAGCTGTGTAGGGATTGAAGAAAACCTGGTGGGAGAGACAAACGTACATAGATAATAAGAAGACCACCTAGTGTTTATTTAGCACTTAGTTTGTGCCGTGCATTTTTCTGAGTGCCTTAAAAATCCACTGACTTATTTAATCCCCAACAACCCTGTGAGGTATGTACTGTTTTATCCCCATTTTACAGGTGAGGACACCAAGGCTCAGAGAAGTTGCTTGGCTTTAGAGCTGAGATTCAAATCTATGTTGCCTGACTCCAGAGCTAGTGCTCATAACCAATATGTTATACTGCCTCTCAGGAAAATGAGCTTCCTGGAATATTCTAGTCACCATTGATCTTCCTGCTTAGACCTTATGATCTGATATAGTCTACATTTCACAACCAATTCTTTTTTTCCTCCTACAGGAGTTTTTTTGAATAACAGAACAAACAAAATCAGGCAGCAAAGTCCCAAAGGAAATAATGATCTTGTTTCAATGTTATTTTCCCTTTGGTCTGTCATCTTCTAAGCACTTACATTTTCTTTTAATGCTATTGGACATTTATCTTGATCACAAATACAATCCAAGTATGGATAAATAAATATTTTGTCTTTTCACACCTTACCCCCCACCCCCCATGTTCCTTTAAATGGAGAGAAGTGCTAAATGGCTCTTCATAGCCTATTTGGCCATAGTTTCCTGTGGTTTAAAAACAGACTTTATCTTGTTCTTCCAAAATACTTCTTGAACTACTACTCATTCTGTTAAAAGAAATCCTGGGAAAGAAGCCCTATTGGTATTGTCCATAGTTTCCAAAAGGTGAGGGTGGTAACTGGGTTGAAGATAACCGGGAGGTGTCGTCAGCAAATCAAGGACCACTGGGCAACAGCATTAAGACAAATGTTTTGTCAGCCAGATACCAGCTCCTCTGCTTAAACCTAGGAGAATGCCACCCATTATAGCTCACCCAGCAACCATGGCCACTGGTCTGTTTCCTGCTGCTAGTATGGCTCCTGCTAAGGCAGCACTTGTGATGGGAATCCAGAGATCTTCTTTCCCTTTAACTTGAACCATACTGTAGTCAGTCATGGAAAACACACCTTCGTGTACTGCAAAGCTACGTCCCCACTATGGAGGCCTCATTATATTTGCTATAAAGCTCCCTTGTCTCTGGTTTACTCCCACTGAAGAATGTTGAAAACCTTAAATTGCTTGAGAGACACCATTTCCTATGGTACCCATCATACAAGCCCCGCCACAGTCTTCTACAGTTTTCCAGGGCATGGCTCTTGCCCACACTCTCCATCTGGACTCCAGTGGCATGAATGAGGCCAGGCAAGCTGGGTAGAGCCTGACCCAAGTGATCTACAATCAGTTCTTAAGTATAGGCTATAGTGTTTCTCAGTCTAATTTTTTTAATAGGAAAAAAAAAACCCCTAGAGGGTTCTGACCCTCCATTACTGGTTTAAATTATTCTCATTAAAAATATCCAAAGATGTAACTAGGAAGACTCTTTATGCTCATAGTTACATAATTTTAAGCAGAAATAAATATACAGAGTAAGCAAAAAAAGTCATATTCAAAAAGCATTGAATTTAATGTTATAGATAATAAATACTGTTTTGATGAAAGTACACTTGGCTGCTGTCAGTATGCGTGTGGTATTGGCTGCTTCAACATTATAGACTCAGCGTGCCTTTATTGTCTGTTGTGTCGAGGTTTGATTTTCCTACTACTTTTCTCTCAGAACCTCAGGGAAATATTGGTTTGGCATGATGCTGTGACATAATTTAGCCTCCCCTGTTTTGGCTTGAAAGCATAATTATTATATTATCTCTGGTCTTTTTTCATTATCTTCTCAAATGTAGTGTTACTGCTTGTGCCAGTGTGACAGTAAGCACCAAAACACACAACACAACTGCCTATGTGGTCACTGGTATTGTTCTTGGTAATGATGATCCAAAATACACTTGCTGTTTTGGATCATCCTTGAAATAAAAGCATAATAGAAAGACTTTGCAAAGGACCCTTGAGGAACTCTGAGTAAAAATCCATGCCCCAGGTTGAGGAACACTGGTTTTCCTCATGAATTGCTTTAGGTGTATGGAAATGATCTCTCCACTAAATGGTAAGCTCCATGCTGGCAAACACTGTTTCTTTCCAGGTGCCATGTGGAGTAACATGTTTAGCCCATGGTAGTGCCTGTGGAATGAGTCTTGCTCTGATCAGCTCTGGTAATGTATCCTCATGTTCAGGTTTTGTGTGTAGGTTTATAGACGTCTACATTTTCTTTGTATTTTTGTTTCCCTTGAATTAGGAAAAAAGAAGAAAAACTGGACTGGATGTACCAGGGTCCTGGTGGGATGGTGAACCGTGATGAGTACTTGCTGGGACGCCCCATTGACAAGTACGTTTTTGAGAAGATGGAGGAGAAGGAGGCAGGCTGTTCTTCTGAGACAGGACTCCTCCCAGGCTCCATCTTTGCCCCGTCAGGTGCGAATTCCCTTCTTGACATGGCCAGCAAAATTCGGGAGGACCCACTCTTCATCATCAGGTACTGATGAGGGGCTGGGAAGGGGCTCTTGTTAGTTTTTCTCAGTCCAATCCTTTCAGTGCTTAGCAGAGATATTAAATAGCCTCATGCTTCACAGTTGATTTCCTCTTGGCTTTTGTCTGCCATATAAAAGAATTTATCTCCATTTGGGCTTCCTGATGTCCGGAAGAAGGCTCCATTAAAGGTGCCTGGTCCAGGTGTTATGGAAAGAGTTTGGCAAATGGACCAGACCAGATTGAGCCACATTTATTCATTCATCTTTGGCCTTTAAGCAAAAACCAGGAGGTAGAAACAAGGTGAAAAAGGCTGGCAGCTTTTTGGAAATTTGGGGATATGTGTAGAGTTGGTCAGGTGGATGGATAAGCCTTCTCTCCTCCCCCCACTTTTTTTTGTGGCAGAACCCTTTAAAAAGAAACTTTAGAATCTTACTTGAAACCTACTATCTAACAGTTCAAAGTAGAGCTGCATTTTGGGTGCTGAATGAGATCATGCTGTGCATATTATTATTTTATTTTGGCTTTGCATTCTTTTATTTCAAGTGTGTAAGGTTGAACATTGAAAATGTTATTTATATTCTTTTAAACATTCAGTTATTTATATATTAAAGGTATTGCCTACTGTATGTACAGATATTATATATTATGTGCAAACATTTTCTCCCATTTTGTTAGCTTCTGAATTAATTATGGCAAATATACATAACATAAAATTTACCATCTTAACCATTTTTAAGTGTACAGGTACATTCACATTGTTGCACAGCCATCACCACCATCTGTCTCTAGAACTTCTTCATCATCCCAAACTGAAACCCTACACCCAATAAACAAGAACTCCCCGTTCCTCCCTTCCCCCCCAGCCCCTGGCAACCATCGTTCTACTTTCTGTCTCTATGAATTTAGCTACTCTAATTACTGCATGTAAGTGGAGTCATTCGGTGATTGTCTTTTTGTGACTGGCTTATTTCACTCAGCATGGTGTCTTCAAAGTTCATCCCTGTTTTGTAGCATGGGTCAGAATTTCCTTCTTTTTAAAAAAATTGTGGTGAAATACACATAAAATTTACTGTCTTAATCATTTTAAGAATACAGTTCAGTAGTGTTAAGTGTATCCACACTGTTGTACAACCAATCTCCAGAAGCTTTTTATCTTGTGAAACTGGATAATATTTCATTGCATACATTTTGTTTATCCATTCATCTGTCGAAGGACATGTGGGTTACTTCCACCTTTTTGGCTATTGTGAATAATGCTGCTGTGAACATTGGTGTACAAATATTGTGCTTACTATTTTGTAAAACTCTTTTTCGCCTAATCATATATATGGAACATACTCTGTGTTGCTAATAACTATGCTTCTGATCTGTGTCTTTGATGTCCTTTCTTCTGTATTTGACTTAGGGGCCCTTCCCCAGAAATGTTTTGCTCCTTTGCCTGCAGGTTCCTGGTTCTCCTACCAATTCATATCATGTCTTCTCTTTCCTTCACTTATTTATTTAGCTTCTTTCTCTTATTTCATGACTGCCCATGCTCCTCAAGACCTCCGCTTCCACTCATTTTCTCTCTCTTAGGGCCCCTCCATTCCTCAAGCATCAGTCGTCTACTTCATGCTGGTGGCTCCAGATTGTCCCACACAAACTACTTTGTCTCTGTATGTGCAGCTGCCTACCACACAGTTCTTCTTTGAGGCCCCGGAGTCACCTCAACACACGCTCAGCTCTCACCAGCCCCATCTGGAAATTTGTTGACCTGTGTGCCTCATCCAGTAACCTATGACCAACCAGTTGCCTGGATATTTTTCATCCTTCCAGCCTCACTCTTCTGTCTGGCATATAGGAAGTATGCTCAGTAAATGTTCACAAATGAATAAATAAATATTGCCCACTTCCTCATCCCTATTAGTGCCAGGCATGCATCAGCCTGATCTCCTGATCTCTCCAGTCATCTTTGACACGTCCTTTTAAAGGCCCTCCTACCCAGTCACTAAGACCTGCTTTCCTTTCCAGAAGTACTGCCTATTTCAAGATCCATTGCCCATGAAATGCCAAACATTGAACACGTGACCATGAGGCAACTGTATAGGATTCACAGGTGAATAAACTGTGGCTCCAGCTGTGTAGGGATTGAAGAAAACCTGGTGGGAGAGACAAACGTACATAGATAATAAGAAGACCACCTAGTGTTTATTTAGCACTTAGTTTGTGCCGTGCATTTTTCTGAGTGCCTTAAAAATCCACTGACTTATTTAATCCCCAACAACCCTGTGAGGTATGTACTGTTTTATCCCCATTTTACAGGTGAGGACACCAAGGCTCAGAGAAGTTGCTTGGCTTTAGAGCTGAGATTCAAATCTATGTTGCCTGACTCCAGAGCTAGTGCTCATAACCAATATGTTATACTGCCTCTCAGGAAAATGAGCTTCCTGGAATATTCTAGTCACCATTGATCTTCCTGCTTAGACCTTATGATCTGATATAGTCTACATTTCACAACCAATTCTTTTTTTCCTCCTACAGGAGTTTTTTTGAATAACAGAACAAACAAAATCAGGCAGCAAAGTCCCAAAGGAAATAATGATCTTGTTTCAATGTTATTTTCCCTTTGGTCTGTCATCTTCTAAGCACTTACATTTTCTTTTAATGCTATTGGACATTTATCTTGATCACAAATACAATCCAAGTATGGATAAATAAATATTTTGTCTTTTCACACCTTACCCCCCACCCCCCATGTTCCTTTAAATGGAGAGAAGTGCTAAATGGCTCTTCATAGCCTATTTGGCCATAGTTTCCTGTGGTTTAAAAACAGACTTTATCTTGTTCTTCCAAAATACTTCTTGAACTACTACTCATTCTGTTAAAAGAAATCCTGGGAAAGAAGCCCTATTGGTATTGTCCATAGTTTCCAAAAGGTGAGGGTGGTAACTGGGTTGAAGATAACCGGGAGGTGTCGTCAGCAAATCAAGGACCACTGGGCAACAGCATTAAGACAAATGTTTTGTCAGCCAGATACCAGCTCCTCTGCTTAAACCTAGGAGAATGCCACCCATTATAGCTCACCCAGCAACCATGGCCACTGGTCTGTTTCCTGCTGCTAGTATGGCTCCTGCTAAGGCAGCACTTGTGATGGGAATCCAGAGATCTTCTTTCCCTTTAACTTGAACCATACTGTAGTCAGTCATGGAAAACACACCTTCGTGTACTGCAAAGCTACGTCCCCACTATGGAGGCCTCATTATATTTGCTATAAAGCTCCCTTGTCTCTGGTTTACTCCCACTGAAGAATGTTGAAAACCTTTAATTGCTTGAGAGACACCACTTCCTATGGTACCCATCATACAAGCCCCGCCACAGTCTTCTACAGTTTTCCAGGGCATGGCTCTTGCCCACACTCTCCATCTGGACTCCAGTGGCATGAATGAGGCCAGGCAAGCTGGGTAGAGCCTGACCCAAGTGATCTACAATCAGTTCTTAAGTATAGGCTATAGTGTTTCTCAGTCTAATTTTTTTAATAGGAAAAAAAAAACCCCTAGAGGGTTCTGACCCTCCATTACTGGTTTAAATTATTCTCATTAAAAATATCCAAAGATGTAACTAGGAAGACTCTTTATGCTCATAGTTACATAATTTTAAGCAGAAATAAATATACAGAGTAAGCAAAAAAAGTCATATTCAAAAAGCATTGAATTTAATGTTATAGATAATAAATACTGTTTTGATGAAAGTACACTTGGCTGCTGTCAGTATGCGTGTGGTATTGGCTGCTTCAACATTATAGACTCAGCGTGCCTTTATTGTCTGTTGTGTCGAGGTTTGATTTTCCTACTACTTTTCTCTCAGAACCTCAGGGAAATATTGGTTTGGCATGATGCTGTGACATAATTTAGCCTCCCCTGTTTTGGCTTGAAAGCATAATTATTATATTATCTCTGGTCTTTTTTCATTATCTTCTCAAATGTAGTGTTACTGCTTGTGCCAGTGTGACAGTAAGCACCAAAACACACAACACAACTGCCTATGTGGTCACTGGTATTGTTCTTGGTAATGATGATCCAAAATACACTTGCTGTTTTGGATCATCCTTGAAATAAAAGCATAATAGAAAGACTTTGCAAAGGACCCTTGAGGAACTCTGAGTAAAAATCCATGCCCCAGGTTGAGGAACACTGGTTTTCCTCATGAATTGCTTTAGGTGTATGGAAATGATCTCTCCACTAAATGGTAAGCTCCATGCTGGCAAACACTGTTTCTTTCCAGGTGCCATGTGGAGTAACATGTTTAGCCCATGGTAGTGCCTGTGGAATGAGTCTTGCTCTGATCAGCTCTGGTAATGTATCCTCATGTTCAGGTTTTGTGTGTAGGTTTATAGACGTCTACATTTTCTTTGTATTTTTGTTTCCCTTGAATTAGGAAAAAAGAAGAAAAACTGGACTGGATGTACCAGGGTCCTGGTGGGATGGTGAACCGTGATGAGTACTTGCTGGGACGCCCCATTGACAAGTACGTTTTTGAGAAGATGGAGGAGAAGGAGGCAGGCTGTTCTTCTGAGACAGGACTCCTCCCAGGCTCCATCTTTGCCCCGTCAGGTGCGAATTCCCTTCTTGACATGGCCAGCAAAATTCGGGAGGACCCACTCTTCATCATCAGGTACTGATGAGGGGCTGGGAAGGGGCTCTTGTTAGTTTTTCTCAGTCCAATCCTTTCAGTGCTTAGCAGAGATATTAAATAGCCTCATGCTTCACAGTTGATTTCCTCTTGGCTTTTGTCTGCCATATAAAAGAATTTATCTCCATTTGGGCTTCCTGATGTCCGGAAGAAGGCTCCATTAAAGGTGCCTGGTCCAGGTGTTATGGAAAGAGTTTGGCAAATGGACCAGACCAGATTGAGCCACATTTATTCATTCATCTTTGGCCTTTAAGCAAAAACCAGGAGGTAGAAACAAGGTGAAAAAGGCTGGCAGCTTTTTGGAAATTTGGGGATATGTGTAGAGTTGGTCAGGTGGATGGATAAGCCTTCTCTCCTCCCCCCACTTTTTTTTGTGGCAGAACCCTTTAAAAAGAAACTTTAGAATCTTACTTGAAACCTACTATCTAACAGTTCAAAGTAGAGCTGCATTTTGGGTGCTGAATGAGATCATGCTGTGCATATTATTATTTTATTTTGGCTTTGCATTCTTTTATTTCAAGTGTGTAAGGTTGAACATTGAAAATGTTATTTATATTCTTTTAAACATTCAGTTATTTATATATTAAAGGTATTGCCTACTGTATGTACAGATATTATATATTATGTGCAAACATTTTCTCCCATTTTGTTAGCTTCTGAATTAATTATGGCAAATATACATAACATAAAATTTACCATCTTAACCATTTTTAAGTGTACAGGTACATTCACATTGTTGCACAGCCATCACCACCATCTGTCTCTAGAACTTCTTCATCATCCCAAACTGAAACCCTACACCCAATAAACAAGAACTCCCCGTTCCTCCCTTCCCCCCCAGCCCCTGGCAACCATCGTTCTACTTTCTGTCTCTATGAATTTAGCTACTCTAATTACTGCATGTAAGTGGAGTCATTCGGTGATTGTCTTTTTGTGACTGGCTTATTTCACTCAGCATGGTGTCTTCAAAGTTCATCCCTGTTTTGTAGCATGGGTCAGAATTTCCTTCTTTTTAAAAAAATTGTGGTGAAATACACATAAAATTTACTGTCTTAATCATTTTAAGAATACAGTTCAGTAGTGTTAAGTGTATCCACACTGTTGTACAACCAATCTCCAGAAGCTTTTTATCTTGTGAAACTGGATAATATTTCATTGCATACATTTTGTTTATCCATTCATCTGTCGAAGGACATGTGGGTTACTTCCACCTTTTTGGCTATTGTGAATAATGCTGCTGTGAACATTGGTGTACAAATATTGTGCTTACTATTTTGTAAAACTCTTTTTCGCCTAATCATATATATGGAACATACTCTGTGTTGCTAATAACTATGCTTCTGTCACATAATTTTTTATGTCCATATTGTATGGATATACTATAACTTATTAATACTCTTGTTGAGTTCCTAGCTTGTTTCCAAATTTTCAGTTATAATGCGAACAACTTTGTAGTGACCCTCCTTGATTATATCCTTAGACTAGCAAATTCTTGAGGAAGAATTTATAAGATTAAAGAGTATGTGTAGGCTGTGATAAGTGTTGCCAAATTGTCCTCCAGGAAGATGACCAGTTTATCCTCTTATGAACAATATATGAGAGTAAGACTTTGTGACAGAGGAATTTCATTCTCTTTATTTCCAAGGCAGTTACCATACTAAACAGTGAAGGCAGTATTGAAATGTTTCACCCAATTGATACACAGCAACCATTTGATACACAGGATGACACCATTTACTTTACCAGTTGGGAAGCCCTGAGCATGAACCCTAATAAGAAACAGACCAAATTCACTGTCTTGCATTGCAGGGAACCAGTATGTACTTGCCCCACAACATTCAATATTCAGTCCCTTCTGCAGGTTTGCTGTATTTCTGGTGTCTACACCATCACTTAGATTTCAACTTAGGGCCTGTCCGCATGCATTTGGAAAAAAATTGCTACATAGAATTGTAGAAAGTAGAGGGAATGGCTTATTCTCCTTTCCAAAAGAAATAGTCATGATTTTTATCATTTCTTCTTTTTCTTTAGAAAGAAGGAAGAGGAGAAAAAAAGAGAAGTATTAAATAATCCTGTGAAAATGAAGAAAATCAAAGAACTGGTAAGTTAGTGCATCAAATAAGCACCAAGAGTATCTTTTCTCTACTTAACATGAGAACTACTCTCCATTTACTCTTACTTTATGAGGAGGAAAACAGAATGGCTTTTAAAATTAATGTCTTTTAGAGCCCTTCTTCTGGTGATTTATGCAGTCTTAATTTATCGAGCTTAATAATTTGCTTGATTTCCTCTTCTATGTCTTTGGTTGGAAAAGCACCATGAGATGCCATGTTTTCAGAAAGAGGGCCATAGGATACACCTGTGGGAAGCGTGGTCACGCAGAGTGTTCAGGAGACTAGGTGATACCAAGCCTCCAGGGCCCATTTATCATTCACATGATATATTGTGTGATTGTTCCTTGGCTTAGTTGGTAAGGAAAACTTAAAGATTAGTCTTGCAGTCCCCAATTGCTTTCAGTGCAGTTAGAGTTCTTTTGATAGAATATAAATTCCTAGACAGTAGTTCTGAGGAACTGTTTAAATACACAAATTCCAGATTCACTCTCCAGAGATTCTGTTGAGTAGTCTAGAGGAGTTTGTGCATAGTCAGGGTTAAGAACCTCCCCATTTGTTGACAGGGAAACACTGATAATGTCCTGGACTTCTGTAGACCCAGAGGCCTGGCATCAGGGAGTTTGTCCATGACCCAGTCCCTTCAGAGGGACTGACAGGGGACTCAGTAATCTTACATGGTTATGTTCTGGACATTTTCTAGTTGCAAATGAGTCTGGAAAAAAAGGAGAAGAAGAAAAAGAAGGAGAAGAAAAAGAAGCACAAGAAACATAAGCACAGAAGCTCAAGTAGTGATCGTTGCAGCAGTGAGAATGAGCGCAGCCGGGGGAGGTGAGCGACTGGATGAGGGCCGCCCTCATCATTGGTTCATTCACACATTCCTTCCAGATCTAACTGAACACTTGCTCTGTGCTGGAAACTGGCTTTTAAGTGGTGAACACTTGTTCATGGGCCCTGTGCCCACAGACCTTGCCATCCAGTGCTAGAGTTCCTTGGAGATCTTGGCATGACTCCCTAACAGAGCTGACTAACCTTGTGGGTCTTAGGTCAGACATCCTGGATATGACTTTCATCTCAGCTTATGATTTCCCAAGACTGAAGTGGGTCTTATGTAGGCTTTTTCTTTTCAAATGCGTTAATGGGCCCATATGGGCCCCGTCTGTGTGTCTTCTCTGTGGGGGCAGTCAGCATTGTCACTGCTGAGTCACTGTTAGTCCCTGGAATAGCAGCATGAGGTGAAAGGAGAATGTGTTTGGGGGTTGGGGCAGAAAAGCTAGACTACTGCTTTTCACAGGAATAGCATGACTATGTTGATACATCTTTTAGCAAAGCCAGTCACAATAGAGAGACACGCTCCCAAGTAGGAGCTGCAGGGTGGGAAAGGTCACGATTAAAGCAGGAAGCATGTTTCAGCACCAGAGATTTAAACTGGACCTTAAGCCATTTTCCTTTTCATGAGTGTGTGTTTTAATCTCTCAGATCTCAAAAGAAGGTGGCAAATTCTTCCTCTGTTTTGTCTAAGGTTCCTGGATATGGCTTACAGGTAAGGATGTGGGTTTCTCAAAGGGAATGACTCTGGGACCATGGAATGAGCCCACTTGATAGCCTTTTTGAATATAGAGCATTTTTAGCAGCTAATTGTACTTCATGTGGGAAGAGGGAGTTTGGACAGCCAGACTGGAGCTGCTAGGAATAGGCGCAGACCTTATCCCTGAGCCTCTGATTGTGGCTGAGGGCCCTCTGAGCAGAGAGGTTAAACTGCCAGTGCGCATCTAGGCATCTGCCCATCCCTCTGCAGACAACTCATGTGACATGCATATGTTTTAAGTATACAGGTTGATGACTTCTGACAAATGTACATCCCTCTGGTTCCTGTTTCCCCTCAGCATGTTTAACTTTAGGTCCTATCCTCCAGACTCTGCCTCACACTCCTCCTTATGCTGTAGTGAAGAACCATGCCAGTTTAGGTAGTAGGGTGGGTACATTCTTTTAGGGGATTCTGAAAATACCTTTCCTAAGTTTGTATGGCTCTGTGGAATGGGGCTCCTTACAGAACCACAGTGCTCATTCATTTCCTTGTTTCACTTCATTTTCTTTGAGTTACTGGATTTTCCTATAAACAGCTTTTCTTCCTCTCTTTGATGATACAGATCAGGGACTCCCACCATAGCCACAGATTGCAGGGTCCTCTGATGGCTGAGCAAAAGGGAGTGCATGGACTGAAGAATTACTCCAGGTCCAGAAGCTCCTCCCACTCACCTCCCAGACATGCCAGCAAGAAGAGCACCAGAGAATCAGGGTCCCGGGACAGGAGGTCTCGCTCCCCAGGCAGAAAGTCACGGTCCCCAAGGCCAAGCAAACTGTGAGTGTGGTAATTCACTGGGAAATAACCTGCAAATGTGGGGGCCTGGTCAAGCAAATACTTGCTTTTGGTGATGTCTATTCATTTGATTTTTCGAAACGTCTTTGCTGTGTTTTTCTGTTCTATCATTTTTTTCCTTACCACAATGTAAAGCTATGTATTTATATATGGAGAATCTCTGGAGTGGGTTTAATATCAAATCTTATATACCTTTATGACTTTGCTTTTCTTCCACTTCTGTCCACTCTTCTTTTCAACTTGGATTATAACTCTTTAAGAATGTTAGCTTTACTTCCATTGTTTGAGGGACTGGATAAAAGACCCTGTATTGAAAAGGCTTTTCTCCTCTCTGCCTTCTGTCTGTTCCAGGCACAACTCTAAGGTAAACAGGAGAGAGAGAGGCCGAACTAAGAGCCCATCACCTCGAAAAGAGGTCTACCAAAGGCGGCATGCACCTGGGTACACCAGGTGAGTCGAGAGCCCACAAGAACTTCAGACTGTGGGCCTGACTCTGGGAATGGCTCAAACCAGGGCAAGTGAATAATCTACATTACCTTTCTGCCAAACCAGCTTTTATTCTTCTTGTCAACTTCTAACAGTCTGCCTGCCTCCCTGCTCTGGGAAGCACATGGAAAGGGCAAAGTAAAGAGCTTTGACTTAATGAATAATGATAAAGTGACTGTCTCTCAACATCTATAAACATATTAATTTTCATAGAGATTTCCACAAAGAAGTTTTTCTTGAGAGAGTGTTCCTTTCTTGAGGTGTTAGGTAAATGAGAAGCAGGGTGTTCTCCTTCAGGGCAGGCACCCTAAGGTGGACTCTGTGTTTGAGCTGGATGTGGAGTGGGTCAGACAGAACAGGGTGTGCAGCTGTGGGACCTGACAGGAGTTGGCTGTGCCTAGGAAAGGCTATTCCTATGGGTATTGGTTGCTTTTAGTAGAAGTTTAGATGAGATGGACAACTTTTGTGAGCTTGCTTCTACGCCTAAACAAATTGGCTGCACATTAGAATTACCTGGGAAGCTTTAAAAAAAAAAATCTCATTGCCCAGCAACACCCCATTCCTATTACATCATACTTTCTGGGAGTGGGCTCAGAAATTTATGTTTTTAAAGCTCCCTTGTGGTTCAAACACAGCCAATGTTGAAAACCACCGAGAGTTTACAGCGACCTCTTTCGTTGTTAGAGAGGCACACTGAGTTCCCTTTTAACTCTTAATTGTCTGATTCCCTAAGTTTCCAAGGAACAGAAACTTTCTAAAAAGGTTTAATTCCCGCCCCCCCCCCCACTTCTGGTATGACTTTATTTCTAAATAATCCTATGGTAAGTCTGACTTTTTTTTTTTTTTGAGAGGGCATCTCTCATATTTATTGATCAAATGGTTGTTAACAACAATAAAATTCTGTATAAGGGACTCAATGCACAATCATTAATCAACCCCAAGCCGAATTTTCAACAGTCTCCAATCTTCTGAAGCATAACGAACAAGTTCTTACATGGTGAACAGTGCAAGGGCAGTCATATGACAGAAACTTTCGGTTTTGATCACACATCATGAACTATAAACAATTAAGTCAGATATTCGTTTGATTTTTATACTTGATTTATATGTGAATCCCACATTTCTCCATTATTATTATTATTATTATTTTTAATAAAATGCTGAAGTGGTAGGTAGATGCAAGATAAAGGTAGAAAACATAATTTAGTGCTGTAAGAGGACAAATGTAGATGCTCAGATCTGTGCCTATAGACTAAGTATTAATCCAAGCTAGACAAGGGCAACAAAACATCCACGGATGCAGAAGATTTCTCTCAAAACAGGGGGGGTGAGGTTCTAAGCTTCACCTCTGTTGATCCCCAATTTCTCACCTGATGGCCCCCCTGCGACTGTGCCTGTCTTAAGTTGTTCCTCCCTTGAGGAATCTTACCCGTCTCTGGCTAACCAGTCATCTTCCGGGGCCATACAGGGAAATGTAAAGTTGGTAAGTGAGAGAGAAGCCATATTGTTTGAAAAGGTTAGCTTTTTACTTCTTTGCAGATTTATGCCCTGTGGCTTCTATGCCCAGCACTTGTCTCGNATTAAATTGCATACACACATTAACATAATAGGAATACAGCTATATAACAAAAGCAGACCTACAATTACCAGCCATATCCAGTGAAACCAAGAAAACCAGTTAGGAACCCTAGGCATTTATCAATGATATGATGGATATTGTCTAACTGAATTTGAATAGTTTGAGAAAAATCAGACAAATTAAAACAACATATTCCTGGGAACTGTTCACATCCCGTATGTTCTTTTAACAGTAGATAGTAAAAGGTTTAATTTTTACTGACAACTTTCCAAAATACGTCATATATTTCCCTGCCTTCCCAGAGTATATTATGCTCCGTCTCAAACCCTTCCCCTTTGGTAACTACTAATTCCTTCTCAGTGTTCGTAAGTTGGAGTTATTTTTCTTACACTAATTAATAATTATTATGGAGGCATCATTTCTTAAATTGTTTTGAGCAAATAATACATACACATATTTTCAAAAATAAAAAAATACTAAAAGTCTTACAGCAAAAACCACCAGTTCCTTGCCCTGTCTGACCTCATCTCTCGTCATGCTGCCCGTGACAACCACTTTCAGCTCTTTGAGCCATTTCTTTTGGTAACTACCTAGTTCTAAAATTATGCTTATGTTGCTGTCTTGTAATTAATCAATTTTAGACACTAGATATTTTCTTTCTGTTAGAATAATGAGGTCTTAGAGTAATGAGCTTATATGTTCCCAGTTCCATGTTTCTTCTCTCCCCAATCTTTCCATTATGGTTATATCACCATTTCTGCCTTAATCAGTATGTGGCTTCATGTTACTATGTTTTATAAATATTGATCACTGATACTTTTCATTGCCAAGCACAATACTGAGGTTACATTTGTCTTATATGATTTTTACATTTTCTCTAGGGTCAGTACTTGCCTTGTTCAATGTCCCATGACTTTCAGTTCCTGGAAATTTTTTTGTATTATTTCTCTGTTACTTTGTTCTTCCTAATTTCTAAGAGCTCTTTTATGTTCTGATTGTTCTTTTTAAAATGCCTCCCATTTCTCATTTTAATAATTTAATTTCTTTCCTTTGTTTTCTCTCAGTGAGATTTTTTGTTGTAAAATTTTTAGAAGTTTTTTTGTGCTTTATCTTCTTTAAGTTCCCTTTTCCTTTTGCTTTGTTCTTTCATGTCAGAGGCTTTCCTGAAATGTTTGGTAATATTTCACTGCCTATTTGTTTTGAAGAGTAAGGCTTTAAAAAGCTGAAATCACTGTATTATATTTGGGCAGGGCTTGTTTACTTGGAGGAGATTGGGTTTAAATGGTTTTTAGCTGGGGACACTCTGATATCAGGATCTCTGGTCCTTTTGTCAGGGACCATTAAATATCTCCAGAGAAAAAACCCTCTGGTTGCCTGACCAATGGCTCTAAGGCTGACTTGGTGGTGTTGTGGGAGACAGCACAGATCCCAGCAGGGTCTGGGATTCTCAGTGTTGAGTATGTGGACATCCATTTCATGCTTGTTTGCCTTGGTGTTTCTGCCAGATTCCTCTGCTGTGCCTGATGCCTCTGAATCTTCTGATCTCCTGTCTGGTGTTGCTCTCTAGAAACTACCAGATGGTCTCTTCTCTGGAGATCTCTTATAGATTTGGGAAAACAGTCACTAGTTTCCCCAAGTTAGGCATGAGGACCCAGGAGTGTCTTCAGTGCCTCTTACACAGACTTTAAATTAGTCCCATCATTTGTGGCCTTTATGCCTCCCTGCCATCCTCCGAAGTCCTCGGTGCCTAGGTCTCTGAGCCTTTCTGGGATTTTGCTTCTGATTAGTATCAGGCACTTAGGATTCGGTTTCCTCTGATCTGTTAAAATAGTTACCACTCCTTCACCCAGTTCTATCTTGCAACAATTTGTTGACAACTCTTTTGTTCTTTCCCATTCTCTATGTAGTTTTATATGTTTTATTTAGTGAGGTTTTTGAAGGGGAGTGTTGTCATTTCACTATAGATAACCAAATGTCAAGCTTTAGTATTTTAAGTTTGTTTCTCAAAATTGGTCTCCCACTCCCTTAGGGGACTCTCGACAATTATTTTTCCTTTTAAAGGGGGAATCGTACATCACCCATTTGAGAAGATTTTTTGTTGTAAAATTTTTAGAAGTTTTTTTGTGCTTTATCTTCTTTAAGTTCCCTTTTCCTTTTGCTTTGTTCTTTCATGTCAGAGGCTTTCCTGAAATGTTTGGTAATATTTCACTGCCTATTTGTTTTGAAGAGTAAGGCTTTAAAAAGCTGAAATCACTGTATTATATTTGGGCAGGGCTTGTTTACTTGGAGGAGATTGGGTTTAAATGGTTTTTAGCTGGGGACACTCTGATATCAGGATCTCTGGTCCTTTTGTCAGGGACCATTAAATATCTCCAGAGAAAAAACCCTCTGGTTGCCTGACCAATGGCTCTAAGGCTGACTTGGTGGTGTTGTGGGAGACAGCACAGATCCCAGCAGGGTCTGGGATTCTCAGTGTTGAGTATGTGGACATCCATTTCATGCTTGTTTGCCTTGGTGTTTCTGCCAGATTCCTCTGCTGTGCCTGATGCCTCTGAATCTTCTGATCTCCTGTCTGGTGTTGCTCTCTAGAAACTACCAGATGGTCTCTTCTCTGGAGATCTCTTATAGATTTGGGAAAACAGTCACTAGTTTCCCCAAGTTAGGCATGAGGACCCAGGAGTGTCTTCAGTGCCTCTTACACAGACTTTAAATTAGTCCCATCATTTGTGGCCTTTATGCCTCCCTGCCATCCTCCGAAGTCCTCGGTGCCTAGGTCTCTGAGCCTTTCTGGGATTTTGCTTCTGATTAGTATCAGGCACTTAGGATTCGGTTTCCTCTGATCTGTTAAAATAGTTACCACTCCTTCACCCAGTTCTATCTTGCAACAATTTGTTGACAACTCTTTTGTTCTTTCCCATTCTCTATGTAGTTTTATATGTTTTATTTAGTGAGGTTTTTGAAGGGGAGTGTTGTCATTTCACTATAGATAACCAAATGTCAAGCTTTAGTATTTTAAGTTTGTTTCTCAAAATTGGTCTCCCACTCCCTTAGGGGACTCTCGACAATTATTTTTCCTTTTAAAGGGGGAATCGTACATCACCCATTTGAGAAGCAATGAATTTAAATGTCTGACCTTGTTAAACAGTGATTGAGCTGGTTCATCACCTCCTCTTTTTGCTCTAATTTCATTTGCAGTGAGTGCCAGGAAAGAAGACCTTTCTATTATTTTCTGAGATTAAGCTGAATTCTCAGGCATCTAGCTTCTAGCTTAGTCCTAAAGTGGTATACTCATGGGCAATGTCCTTTAATTTCTAAGCATCTCCAGTGGGTAGATCATAGATGTCAGCAGTCACGTGGATAACAATCCTCTGTTCTTTTAAGTTTTTCAGCAAACAATTGGAATATTTTATATTGAATGTTTCAGTATAATCACTCCAGAGGTTGTTGAATGAGAGTATGGAACCCTTCACTAAAAGTCTTTGAAATTTGAATAAAACCACCTAAAATGTTAGAAAGGATGGCAACTCATGGTGGGCTTGGCTCTGGGTTGGGCATTTCCTTTGAAGGAGAGCAGTGAGGTGGAGAACCTAATTCGTGTTTTTCTTGTAGTGTTTCTATTATTTGCTGGGAGAGAACTAAATCTCATTGGGTGGTTTTTGTGTTCAACAGAAAGCTCTCATTGGAGGAACTAGAGCGAAAACGGCAAGAGATGATGGAAAATGCTAAGTGGCGGGAGGAGGAAAGGATGAACATTCTCAAGAGGCATGCTAAGGATGATGAACGGGAGCAGAGGCTGGAGAGACTGGACTCCCGGGATGGGAAGTTTATTCAGTGAGTGCATCTTCTTCCTCCCTAATGGTTTGTATAGTGATGGTCCCAAGGAGGCAGTGAGGCAGCTGCTTCCTGCATTGTGTTCTCATGTGTCTGTGCAGAGAGAACACAGAGCTCAGTCTCCAGGCCACCTTTGTTACTACTCCCAGTTGCTGGCCAGACAGTAGGATGTTACTGATTTGAGGGGAGAAGCAAATTGGTATTTTCATTGACTCTTCCTTTTAAATAAGAATTCCTGGGTCAGTGATTGTTTATAGTTCATAATGCGTGATCAAAACCGAAAGTTTCTGTGATGACTGCCCTTGTACTGTTCACCATGTAAGAACTTACTCACTATGTAAGAATTTGTTCACCATGTAAGAACTTGTTCGTTATGCTTCAGAAGATTGGAGACTGACGAAAATTAGGCTTGGGGTGGATTAATGATTGTGCACTGAGCATTGACTCCCCTATACAGAATTTTATTGTTGTTAACAACCATTTGATCAATAAATATGAGAGATGCCCTCTCAAGAAAAAAAAAAAAAGAATTCCTGGGTCAGGAAGCCTTTTTGCAGTGAGGCTTTAACTTATTTTCGAGAACAGATAAATTTTCCCTTATGGATACTGGTTTAAAAAATTGAGTTCCAGATGGAGTCGCACAAGTTATCTATGTGGGCTTAAAAGTACTTGTATTTCCAGAGAACACAAGTAGTGATTCTACAGCATCTTACTACGCTGATGGACAGTGACTGTAATGGGGTTTGTGGGGGGGACTTGGTGATGGGGCAAGTCTAGTAAACATAATGTTCCTTATATAATTGTAGATTCATGATACCAAAAAAAAAAAGTACTTGTGTTTCTACATCCGCTATAGCTAGCAACCTGTTTCTTCTAATTCTGCCATATAGTTGACCAGTTGACAAATGTTTGTTATTTATAACTGCCTGTCTTCTCTTCTTAGCCGTATGAAGCTAGAGAGTACATCGACCTCGTCCCTGGAGGATCGGGTGAAGCGGAATATCTACTCTCTACAGAGAACTTCTGTAGCTCTGGAGAAGAACTTTATGAAAAGATGAAACCATCCCCTCTCTTGCTGGCTTTCCTGAATTTTTTGGGGAGGCTACTGATCCCTTAAAAATTCTCTTTATAAGAGTTCAAGTAATTTCTTCCACAGATGTCAAACCACCACTGTTCAAAGTGACTCTTCAGCAGTTCCTGAAACAGCTCACTTACTTTGAGAACCAGTGTGACTTGCTTTGTGGGACTCTCAGTAACTTTTGCTGGATACAGAGTGGGTTCTAATTATGTTTTTAATGGGTGGGCCCTGGCCCATCTAGGTGTGAGTGCTCATCCTGCTATGGAAGGCTGCTCCCTGTGGTCTTCGTACTCCCAATGGGACCAGACCTATTCTAGTCTCAGGATAGACCGGACTTTCAGAAACTTCTCTCTTCAGTCACCCAGATAGATTGTGCTTAGTGGGATAAATGCACAACATTTGCTTGATTTAGTAGATAATGTGACAGAAGGATGTCAGCATAGGGCAGAACCAAGGGAGTGACAAAGAATGTAGAAGGTAAAACAATACAAAAAAGCCCTAAATGAACTGTTGAACTATTTGGACTATCTTCTGAACTGTAAAAGTGTAGTGTGTATATGTACAAATGTATAATTTTACTTGTTTTTTAAAGGAAGTTAGCCTTGTGACAATATCCTTTTTGGTAAGTGACTTTCTTGTGTAATGGAACCATATTCTATCATGTTGAGTAGTGATGCAGTAAGGCATGTCAGCTTTTTTTTCCTCTGGGAATCCAGTTGGTTTCATAGGAGTCTGGGTTTATTGATCGCATCTAGCATATCTGTCCTTTTACACTGCTTAGGACTTAGATGTGGGCAGTGCAGTGAAGTCAGATGATTTTAGGAGTTAGGACCAAATTGCCAGTATGCTCCCTGGCTCCTAAAAGAGAATAAAATGGAAGCTGTTTATTTCATGGCTTCCATTTTATCGTGTAATAATCCTTATACATTCTAGATTTTCGGGAGTTGTTTGCTACTATTTTTTAGTCAGGTATTAAAAAAAAAATTGGGACCAATCTTCTGTCTTCACTCTTTTCTCTATTCTTTCTCCAGAAGCCCTCATTAGACCCACACATTAGCTGGGCTAGTTCCTTGTTCTGCTCATCCCTAAATCTGCCTAAAATGAATCTCGATTTATATGTTTGAGCACTTATGGATGCCAGGCACTGTAATGCTTGAAACCCAGTCCTTTTCCCAGAGAGAAAGTAACATACACTGTTACTTATTTAATCACTTCATCCTGCTTCCCTATGCTAGAGTTAATTGTCTCTTATTTTATTACTTGATAATAAAGGCTACATTTATTTTTGTAACTGTTTAAAGAGCGACCATGTGCTGAGTACCAAACATACGAATTCCCATACAAAACAATATTGATGATAATGTATGTCGAATATATGCAGATCCTTCGTCTGACTGGAATTACGTAACAGCGTGGGCAGTTTACTCAGAGATTTCACGAAGTGAGCCAGAGAGTAAGACGAGGATGATTCTCTGCTGTAGGATGGATATTGTAAGGCGCCAGCAGTCTCTTCACTCGACCCTTTGGCGGGAGGAGGCCGGGCGGCAGGTGGGTGGGTGCGGAACTCATTCATAAAACCCAGGGCTCCCAGCCTGCTTCTCTCATTGGCCCTGGGGGGAAGGGGCGTGTCCCGCGGGGAGGGGGCATCGCGCCCTAGGCCCGGGGAGTGGGAAGATCCACGCTTGGGTGGAGCGAGGGGGCGTTCCTTGGTTTTCGCGGCAGGACTTCCTTTTCCCCTTGCTGTGTCCCTTCTGTCTCCCCCGGGGTGAGGATGGTACATCCCACCCTCCTCGCATTCCCGCCCCTCCTCCCCTCCGGAGCTGTGGCACCGCCGCCATCTTGGCACGTCAGGTTGCGGGAAAGAGCCAAACCCTGGCTTTGGGGGCCCGGACAGGGAGACCCTCCTGCTGTAGACAGCGAAACCTACCCGGCGCTCTTCCACTCTCTGCTTAGCAGCGGGGCTTTGAGGCGTGCGGAGGCCGGCCGGTTCCTGTCAGGCCCGGGGAGAAGGAGCGGGCGGGGCGGCCGCTGCCTCCCCGGGACGGACGCTACCACCCGGGAGGGAGGAGAGGGACTGGTGACGGCCGGACCGTGGCACCGCCCGGGGGCGGGGTGCGGAGCGGGTCGGCTGGCGCCCTGGGGCGGGGCGGGGTGGGTCAGGAGGAGCGTGGGGCGGACGGAACCACCCAGGCGGGGTGGGGAGGTAACGGGACGGGCGCGACCATGGCGCGGTGAGGGAGCGAGGGTGGGGATCGGTCCGGGGGAGGCCTGGGGCCGCTGGCTTGTGCGACGTCTCGGCCGCCCCCCTTTTCGCCGCCGCCGCCGCCCCGGGCATGTCGTCCAACTGCACCAGCACCACGGCGGTGGCGGTGGCGCCGCTGAGCGCCAGCAAGACCAAGACCAAGAAGAAGCATTTCGTGTGCCAGAAAGTGAAGCTATTCCGGGCCAGCGAGCCGATCCTCAGCGTCCTGATGTGGGGGGTGAACCACACGGTAACCAGCGCCCCTGTGCGCGCCCACGCCCCCCGCAACTCCCGGCCTTCGCCCCTCGGGCTCTGCCAGTGACGCCTGCAACCCCTCGCCTAGCCACTTGCACGCCCACCCCACCCTTGCACGCCGTCCCGGCCGGGTGTGCACGCGCCGCGCGAGGCCTGGTGTCTCCGACGGTGGTATGCCGTCGCCTCCCCCCCTTCCCAGTAGCCCCTCTAGCTTCTGCGTCTGCTAAGCGCGCTTCGGGCAGCCCCTGGAGCGTAGATGGAAGGCCTGGGTGCGGTGGGATTGCTTTCACCCCCTCTCCCCTTCTCCTCCCACTCCCCTCATCCTTTCAGGTAGCATGCTTTCCCCTCCTTGTTCCTTAATACTGGCTCCCAGCCCACTGTCCAGGTGACAGGGCAAGTGGCACTGGCCTGTCTAAATATTCCTCTATTTCTGGTCGTTTGGTGTTGCTGCTCAAAGTTTCCCATCCTCCAGACCTTAGCGCTGACCGTGGAATCCTGTCTGGGTTCCCTTTTTTTCATCTTGAACAAGATGTGTCAACTGGAGAAGCACAGGCTTCCTTGAACCACAGAACACTTTACCAGGGTTTTCCTGGGTTAGGGAGAAGAGAGAATGTAACCATTTGAGAGAAGGTGAGGCCTGATCATAAGGAGGACTATTACTAGTAGAAATAATGTGTCCTCCTGCATTCTCACCGTGTTCATGCAAAAGTCGTTGACTTCTCATTTATATATTCTTGTATGGTCATGAACGGTGTGATAAGGGATGGGGATTAGAATGAGAGAGAAAGGTCCCCTGGATCCTTGGGTGCCTGTCAGGCAGTTGGAGTCCTGCATAGTGTTTGAGCTGGAGGACTTTATGTCCTGTTGGTTTAGGGCCTTTCTTTTTCCTCTTCCAACCACTTGCTTCTTGCCTTCTGACTATTTCATTGTAAATCCCTACACCAGGAATAAGCAGAGGACCTCCTAAAGGACCAAAACACTGACTTGACCAACTAAAAGTTTGGCATTAGAAAAGTGAAGCTAATGGCTTGGGTTTCCTGTGCGTTTCAGCTCTTTAGGTTCCCTGACTTTTCTGAGCACTTTAAATTGCCCACAAGACCAAATGATGACAAAGGGGCCCAGGGCCAGCGAACTAGGCTTTTCGTAGAGGACACTTTGGCTGGAGATTGCGGAGCCATAGTCTGAGCCAGGGTTTTAGATCTTTAGATCTGAAACAGAAAAGCACTTGTGTATGGGGAGGTCTTTGTTGGTTTTTTGGTCTTGGGCAGGTTGCTATTTTCAGTAACCTCACTGAGGTGAGGAGCCTGGCCAGGTAGGGAGTACCACTGGTTGAACACCTCTAGGGCTGCTTCATGCTGACAGTCCAGCAGAGTTTGTTTCTCCTCCTTCCCTGCTGCCTCAGTGATCATCTGACAACATTGCAAGGGAAATTGGGTCATTAAAATGTGAAGCCTGTGTCCCTGCCTGGAATGACTTCCCTGATTTGTTCTGCAACTTGTGTCTCACTAGAAAGCATCCTGTCTGTATACAGAATTGGTAGAGGTCTGAGAGTCAGAAATATGACAGCTAGCCAGAAGGGCCCTTGCATGCCTTATTGTGTACATGAAGAAATGGCCCTGGTACAGGATTAGCTCATCTATGGCCACAGCAAAAGATGCATCTCACTGTCCAGCCTCATGGGCTGTGTTGGCCCATGGTGGTGCTTGAGTGGCTGATCTCATTTTCTTTGCCTCCTGTTCCTTGTTTTATCTCTCAGCCAGGTGCCAGGATAGATGGGAATTATGGTCTTGTTAGAGAACCTGAATGAATGTGCAAGTGTGTGCCCCTGTGCTTGCCAGTTCTCAGGAGTGTGTGCGGTGCTTGGTTTTCTGATAGGCAGGTAATGAGTCTGCCTAGATTTGGGTATCATCCGATGGAAGCCTTAGAAAGCACATGAATAGTTGTCTGTGATTCCTACTCTTTTGGACTGGGCAGTCTCCCTCTTTCTTTGCTAACTTTAAGGAAGTGTGTGAATGCTGGCTGGAAAGCATTGACTTTAAGCAAGACCCGTGCTTTTGGGCATAATGAGCAAGCCCCTCAGGAGAAAGGCACTGGGCTCCACTGCCCTGGCCAGGCGGAGCTTCAGAGGTCAGTGAGTCCCAAGTGCCTCATCTTGGCCTGTGGTAAGGTCTGGTACTTACAGGTCCCCATTTGGGAAATGTAGGCATCTCCCCAGAAGGAGAGTGGAAAATCTTGCAGTTCTCTAGGGGATCAGCACCACAGTGTTCTTTGTGGATTGCTAATTTTTCTAGGAGGTTACCTTCCTTCAAAAACCCACTGTTGCAGCTTTTTGTAGTCGAAGGTTTCAGATACCACCTTTTCTTTGAATCTTTAGCTTCTCACCCATGTAGGCATTTAGGCCATTATGGCATATGGCAGGTGGTGGATGAGCTATGAAGGGTGGATATGTCTTTACCTATAGCAGAAGTTGCTTACTTTCTCATGAGGTGGTTGATTTACTTCTAGGTGGGAAAAGAGGCCTTTGAGCTCAGTATTGTCACAGGAGTTCTTCTCTCATGGACAGGAGATGCAGCCCAGGGACTTTGTGAAGGAAGACTGTGTAGGAAACGGAAAAAAATCAGAAGACTTTGATCTGTTAGGAGAGAACTAGTGAAGAGAGAAAAACCACTGTTTTTGTGGATGAAGTATAGTTCAGAGGGCCTGGAATTAGTTAGGGAAGAGATGGCCTCAGATGGGCTTGGAGACCAGAGAAGGGAGACCTGGCTTGATAACCTGTTGGTCATTTTAGGGACCAAGTATGTGTGAAGCCTTACCCAGGTGATCAGAAGGAATAGGAGCAGTTAATGATAACTATGTCTGACCATTTGGGAAGCTGTCAGACTGTTCTTTAAAGCAACTGTATCATCACATTTCCACCAGCAGTGTGTGGGGTTCCAATTTCTCCACATCCTTGCTAGCATTTGTTATTGTCTTTTTTATTATAGCCATCCTAGTGGGTATGAAGTGTTATCTCATTATAATTTTGATTTGTATTTCTTTGATAGCTAATGATGTTGAACAGCTTTTCCTGTATTTATTGGCTATTTGTATACTCTCAT